ACAGCTACCTACGCCACGTCCACAACCAGCACACCTACACACACCCAGATACCTACGCCACGTCCACAACCAGCACACCTACACACACCTACACAGCTACCTACATCATGTCTACAACCAACACACCTACACACACCCATACACCTACCTACATCACCAAGTCTACAACACACACCCCCAAGTCTACAACACACACCCCCACACAACTACCCATGCCACGTCTATACTCACCCACCCCCACACATCAACACCTGCACTCATACCACACATCCACATCACATCGACACTCAACACCTATGCATACACACACCTCCAGCTACCCATGCCGCCATATCTACACACAACATACACCCCCAGAATACTGAGACGCACCCATCCACAGCCAGCAGCAGGAACCAAATGAAGTTGAGCAGCGGCTCCACGAATGGAGGTCCATCCTCGATGGACGGGTGCTTCTGGGTGTACGTAGTGAAGACCACCGATGCGCTACTTTTGTTTTTTAAACAGAGAAACCTGGAAATGAGAACATGCTGGTGGAGGAAAGGCTGCAGGACACAGTTTCCACCTGCATTGGCACCAGCCTCTGACACACCCTGGTCCTTCCCAAGCTTGCACACCCACGGGTCTCGCAGCCCCCAGCATGGAGGGACCCAGTGCTTCATGCATGTCACTCTCATGCACAGGGGATCCTGGGGAGGCCTGCAATTTACAGGTGAAGGGAATGAAGCTTGGGAAGGTCACGAGGCTCCGGAGCCAGAACCCAGCTTGAGCCCCATCTGAACAATGCAATGAATGAGCTCTTCTCTCCCCCTGCTGCCCACACCCATCAGATGATGGCCCACACCAGAGCACTTGGCCACAGCCCAGCAGTTGGTGGTGCCACGCAGACCCTGGCTCCAGTTCAAGGAGGGCCTACAGGGAGGGCTCAGTGGCCCAGGGGCAGGGCCACCATCAGCCCAGAGAACACGTCTACGCAGTGCAGAGCCAGTGAGCTCTGGGTTTGACCCAGTTTTTCATCAGAGGGTGTCTGTCCCCAAATCCCGCATCAAATCCACAAAGCCAGTCCTACCCCAAAGACCACCCTGAAATCCACATTTGTTTCATGGAATGAAATGAACTCAGGCACACATAAGGCTTTCATGAGAAAGGAAGCGAGTGCCTGAGCTCAGCCTGCGGGACGCCCCAGGGTGCTGGCGGGAGGGCTGCAGGGTAGATGCTCACTGACAATTCTATGAACTGGGTGTGCATTCTCGCAGTTCACAGGCTGAGGCCAGCCAGAGTAGAGCAGAGGCTACAGGGCCTCCCGCCAGCAGGCGAGAGGCACGCCACGGAAAAGGGGGAGATGCCAAAATACTTCTTAAACTTCATAAAACTTATTAAAATTCATGAGTCACTCTGGCTGACACGTGCACTGCAGATTCTGCCCGGAGTGAACTCAGTTTACCCTGCACCACAGCTCGGGCTGGGGACAAGGCAGCAAGGGAAGTCAGGACCCGCAGAGCCACTCAACACCTACTGTAGCACAGCCTGGGCCACAAACATGTCCACCTCGCTGCGGAAGCCCCGGGATGTGGAGTACTCCACCAGCATGTTGGCACAGCCCTCCCCATCCGCTGAGTGCAGAAAATGATACCGCGACTCACAATAGTTTTGTTCTGCAAAGAAAAGACAGAAAAACTGAAATATGCTTCATGAATATAATATAGCACAGGAGATGGAGAAAGATGCAACCATGTTAATTCTATCCCACCCGCCCATGAGAAGAGCCCAGGGAGAGCCCATAGGCAGAGGCACACCACAGGGACTCAGCCAGCCCACACCCCACACACCACCAAATAACAAACACAGCCAACAGTGAAAGCCACGCAGCCACGCAGCACCTTCTTCCTCCAAGCTCCCAGAGCTGCCAAATCCAACCACATTAACGTGTGCATAGTGATGAGCAATGACAGACTGTCACTGTGTGACCCTTCTCACCTACCAGAGGAAACTTACAGGGAGCAATGTAATCAGAGCCCAGGCCAGTGCACCTAGGATCTACATAAACAGCAAAAAGCAGCCTGATCTTCACACCACACCGACCCAACGACGAACCCACACCACCTCATACACATTCACTCCACTCCCAGGCCCCACCAGAACACCTGCTCACACTCACTCCACTCCCAGGCCCCACCCAAATACCTGCTCACACTCATTCCACTCCCAGGCCCCAGCCTAACACCTGCTCACACTCACTCCACTC